ACGGTAAATAGAGACTGATTTTCCTCTCCAAGAGAGGTGGTGCCCAAACAACGAGGTTATTGGCATAATACATGCATATCTTATGAGCTTAACTCATAACTGATAATTAACAATATACAAAATCCAGCCCCATATCGCTATAGATAGGTTATGGTCAAATATTGTTACTGATTTTATTACTTGGTGCTCAGTTGTTAATTACTTTCAGCTTATTATATTACCATATCAAAATTTGTTTGAATATCTCTAAAACTGTCTGAGTTACAACCAATTTTCTGTTTGCTCATTTTAATTAGGTGTAGGCTATCAGACATCTTGATTCCACTTGATTCAAGATGTTAGTTTTAGATACGCTACCAATGAAAAATTACTAAAACATTTTCATCAAAATCCATCCAAAGGGTTTATGAGCTATTTTGCTAACAGATAGGGCTGGTCCCAATAGTTCTTGCTAAAGTTTTAAGAACAAATCTGGTGTGATGTTAGCTCTTAGAGTAGACATGGGATATATGGCTCTTTGAACAATTTCCAGTTTTTGTCCGTGAGGCTGACACATCGTGTGCTTTTAAGATTATGCTTAAGTCTTTCCTTTTTGATAAAATATAGTTAGGGTTAGCTTAGACTGTCACAAGGACTGAATATCCAGAGCGTAAGGACTGAATATGAACAACACAACACAGGAAGGCAAGTTCAGTGCTTTTATTTACAGTGAATATAATCACAGGAAAACCTCAGGAACCCTGGGGAGCCAGGAGAAAGGTCAGCACTGAAGTTCAGCAGGGATGATTTTAATTAGATTGTCTTCTGATTACGGCAGCATGGTAGCGCAACTAGTAGAGCTGCTGCCTCTCAGCGTGCAGGTTCCTGGTTCAAATCCCGATCCGGGGCCTTTCTGGGTGGAGTTTACATGTTCTCTCCGTGCATGCGTGGGTTTTCTCCGGGTACTCCAGTTTCCTCCCACAGACCAAAAACATGTTTGTCTGATTGGTAACTTTAAATTGTCCCTTGGTGTGAGTGAGAGAGTGAATGGTTGTTTGTCTCGTTTGTCTCTATGTGTCCCTGTGATGGACTTGCGACCTGTACAGGGTGTACCCCACCCCTCGCACAATGATTGCCGGACATGGGCACGGGCGACCCCCGTGACCCAAAATGGAAGAAGTGGGTAAAAGATAATGGATGGACGTCTTCTGATTCTTAATGGTTGTGAGTGGTATTGGAAAATCACTTGTTCCAATAATCCTGTGTGAGCAATAGTTGTCCATAGTGGAAAGTAGTCACTGGGCGAGTAGTTGGAAAGCAAGAAAGACAGCTGAAGAGGTCACAAGGAGGTTTCCAAAATTTCAAAAGGAGTCCAAGAACAGGTAGGTCTCAGGAGGTTCACTGGAAACAGTAAAATAAAAAGGTAAGTAAACTTAGGTCAATAGAATATAGACGCATGAACCATTGGAAAGGTAATGCTCCAGTGTCGAAGAAGAGTTATCAGATGCCATATATACTTGGGCGTCTCATCAAGGAGATTGGTCTCAGGTGTGATAGTCTGGTGCCTTATAGTGACCTCCAGAAAGGCGTGAACTGGAACTCCCACATAGACTGCTGGAGGACAAATTGACCACATTTTCTCACTCTGCTACTGTCTTTATTTGCTCTACTCTACCTGTGTAAAGGGAGTTTTCCTTTCCACTGTTGCCATTGTGCTTGCTCAGGATGGGAGACTATGTTAAAGTGAAGATACAACACATTCTGCTGGCTTCCTTAAATAAATAACTTTTGCTAATTGGCTTTTTTTAAATGTATGTAAATGTTTTTGTACAGTACCTTGAGACAAATTCTGTTGTGACGGTGCTATATAAATAAACTGAAGTGAATTAAGGAAACCGGATTTTGTTTGCTTCATAGAGGCATTCAATTTTGAATGAGTACGTCGTCAAGTTTGGATGTTTGTCATCACACGCAGCATACGTCATCATGTACGCCATATGTAATGATGTATGTCGTCAGGGCTGTACCGCGTGTTTTGTCAAGGAGGAACCCTGAAGAGCCGTTCAGATGATCCAAATTGTTTGCAAATGTCACAGCTCAATCTTAAAGTATCCATCTCATTCCTGGGGGTTCTACTGGATAAATGATTGAGTACAACTTCCTGTCAGACAGGAAGTAGCAGTAAGCATTGGTTAATCATGGTAGCGGAGCACGGAACGTAGTTTATTTGAAAGTAATTTGTATTCAGTTTAGCAGATAAAACACTATATGTTTGTTTTGTGCACATTTATTTAACAACCCTAAAGTTTACTAAAATAGCCTTGCGGAGTTCAGGTACGTGTTGTGTTGTTCGGGGCAGCACAAGTAACCAGACCAAACTAAATCAGTGGTTACAACAGCAGAGTTTTGAACATGGATCCAAAACAACAAAAAGAGTTCCTGTGAAAAGCAGCATAGTTTCCTATCACCTACCTACAGTTGAGGAATTAAGAAGAATGTGGTTGAAAAAAACCTGAACTTGAAGAGACCACCCATAACGCTGTGTGTGTGCTCATTTCACTTTGTTGACAAACGGCCGACGGCGGAGAACCTGCATCTTACTTTGTGGCTGGACTACAATAAACCACAGGAGGAGAGACACCGGATCCTCAGAAGGATTGAAAACAGTGACGAGAATATCAGGTGTGATTTGAAGTGTATGAAGGACACAGCATTATTGTATTTGTTCGTCTTTGGTAGTACAATTTTCTCTGCAATTACCCCAAGTTCAGTGATGAAGGACTTTAAGGGCTGGACTCAATGTCTGTTTTAAGGTAAATAAGATTGTGTCTCACTTTCTTCCACTTCCACAAAACACGAGCAACTTTATTACTGTGTAGATATTAAGACACCTCAGAGATTTTCAGGTTGTTCATCGCTTCACTATCAGAAGCAAATGAGTTAATGAAGTAGCTACATATGAAATAATCTGCAGCCACTTCTTCAGGTCGTCCTCCATCCCTCGTCTTCAGCAGTATGATTAGATCGTCCTGTTTGAGCTCTGACAGGTGGTGTTGACATGTTTCAATTAAATCCACATTTCTTGGAGAAACTACATTAACTCGTACTGTTAGCATATAAACAAACGCCGGTTGCGGTCCACGCCGGAAGTCATGGCCATAATTCTTGCAAGGCACCATGAGGGCTATAAGGTGGATACGTTGGGGAACAGTCTCAGCTACTACCACACTATATTTGATCTCAGTACCTTTAAAACAGAGGATTTCAGCCAGTTTTGTGTTTTTATTAATGTCCATTAGCTATAGCAGCCATGTTGAATTGGTTATTTCCAATAAAATCCCAGTTGTTCATGAGCCATTTTTCACAACAAACAGATTTTTATTTTACATTCTGGGAAGTGGTTGAACTGTTTCAAACATCATGAAAAAAGAAAATTTTTAAACTTTTTTTTTTCTCAGTTTTCTAGAAAATTGCCCAACGTTTTGTTACACCTTCCTCAGCACCGCAACTCCAGTCAAGAGTTGATAACCCGAACGATATAAGTTTCACTTACATCATAGTCACGTTTCATTGTTCAAAACTCACTTTTTATTTATTGTTTTTAATATGAGATTTTTTTTTTATGAATCCTATTTGATGATCCTCATTAATGAAGCTTTTTATTCCAATAGATTGGTCATTTTTGAGGCTGCATCACATTAATACTTGTTACCAAATTATTTTAGTTGCAGTTATATAAATAAACTTTCTTTTTATAAAAATGTTTCTTTATAGCTACATGTGAAAGAAACTCATGCAACACAATGAGGCAACATTATCACCAGCAGTTATTAGTAAATACAAAAAAAAAAAAAAAAACTAATCTTGATGAAATGAGCAAAAAGATTTCTTAAAATGACAGAAAAGTTGATTTTCTGTCTGAGTCAGATCAAGATAAAATCGAACACCGAGATTTTTCTGCACACAAATCAAAGATGTGAGAGGTTGCTTGAATATATTCCTTTATCAAATTATTTTTTTTTATAAAATAAGACCATACAGAAATCCTTAATAACTCTGAACCTGTAATAAAACAAAGCAGATCGTTTGTCTTCACTTTGTGAATAAGTATTTGTAAAATTCATTAAGGCACAAAAAAAAAAAATACATCTGCAACAAATGATACATTCACACAGAAATTTAAAAACTTTATAGCACATCACAAAACAAAAAGATTTGCTGAATTATAACCCCCAGATTTATAAGATGTATTCCCAGGGGTCTGCAACCTTTATGTGGCTATAATGTAAGACAAAAGACCAGATTCACGTAACGGAGGAAGAAAAACTTAGTTTAATATTTAGGCAAAAAAATTAACACTAAGCTACGCTGCTTACACAAGTTAAAGTGAATATACAAATTAAACCAGTTTGTTGGACATTTGACTGAAAACTAATACTTTCAACAGGTTTTACTCCATATATTTGTACTGGCATTCACATATTTGTAAAAAAAATTAATTCAACCTTTATTTATTTACTTACTTCGTTGAGCCACAAGGACTCATTTACAAGAGAGACCTGTTTGAAACACACACACACACACACACACTAAACCATGAGCTACACACAATAGACAATCATATAAAATGAAAAGTAAATAAAAGGCTGGAAGATCACAAGAACCAGCCCCTTTTTCTTGAAGATCAATAAAATTCAGTTTCAAAGCTTTAAAGAGCTGCACGTGGCCCCAGAGCTGCAGGTTGCAGACCTCTGTGTACTCCTCACACCAGCTGTCGCCATGTTTGGAAAGATTTCATGCTGGAAAACTTTGACTTACATTCACTTGCAGAGTCTCAAAATGTGTCAAAAGGCAGAATTTGAAGCTACAATCAGACAGTAAATGAATATTGTGGTTAATATTATTCTGCAGCAGCAGGAGATGGAAGTATTTTGATTTAAAACAAAATCTGGACACACAGAGGCGACGAACTGAACGTGTCTCCAGGATGAAGCAGAAAGTGACTCATCTGCTTGTTCTTCCTACATGATGATGGTGGAGGTGACATTGGAGGACCTGGACCCGACCGAGCTCTTCCTGGAGGACCTATAGGAGGAGGAGCTGATGAATGAGTCCGGAGCCCACTTCTTCAGCAGCTGCAGAACTCTCCTCATGAACTTCTGTCCCACGAAGGCGTAGATGATGGGGTTCAGGCAGCAGTGGGTGTAGGCGATGGCCTCGGTCACTGTCGTTGACAGCTTGAGGTTTCCTTCCCAGGCGCAGCTGCTCTCGATGAGGTCTTGGGAGTACAGGAACTTCAGGAAACGGGAAATGTTGTACGGAGCCCAGAACAGGAAGAAGATGACCATGATGGAGATGATGAGCCTCACAACGCGGTGCTTCTTGGCAGTCTTCATGCTCATCAGAGTGGGGATGATCCTGGAGTAGCAAATCACCATCACCAACATGGGAACCACCAGGCCCAACACGTTGGTGATGAAGAGGTCGTAATGCATCCAGCCCTCGTTTTCCGGGGAGTAGTAACATCCCGTGTCCTGGTCCTCCACCGTCACGTTGGCGAAGATGAACGCAGGCAGGGAGATGAAGAAACTCAGCATCCAGACGACCGTGACCATAATGACGCCCGTCTTCATGGTGCGATACCGAGCCACGCCGTGAGCGTGCATGATGACCACGTAGCGGTCCATCGTCATGACGACCATGAAGAAGATGCTGCTGAAGAAGCCGGACTGATGGGAGCATGACAGGAATTGGCACATGAAGTTTCCGTAGGTCCAGTCACCGATCACCATGTAGTGGATGTAGAACGGCAGCGAGAAGATGAAGAGCAGGTCTGAGAGGGCCAGGTTGAAGAGGCACAGGTCCGTCAGGTTGGTCTGGTTCCAGTGCTTCACCAGGACAAACACAACGAGGCTGTTCCCTATGAAGAGATGGAAGAACAGAACGTTAGTCACCACAGAGACTAAACTTTACCCGTCTGAATTTCTAAATCGTTCTCATTGTTGGTCATTTTTCAGCATGCGACTCCTTCAGCGACTCAATTCAAAACCTTCAGCTCCTTCAGGACAGTCCTGCTGTGACTTTTGGTATTTGTGCAATTTGTTTTAAATATTTAGCTTTGTCGGCCATGTTTTCCTCATTGAAAATGAATGGAGCTCTTTTCACACCTTCAAACCCTTTGAGCTGTTTACAACCTGCACATTTCAGCTTTTGTTCTGATTCTTTTGGCTAATTTTAGCTTCCTTCAGCTCCTTTTAGCTTTGTTTTAAAATATGTTTCTGTTCTTTTCTACCAATTTCAACTAGTTTTGCTCCTTTCAACTTATTTCTATTAAATTCTGCTTTTTCCATCTTCTTTTTAGGTATTTTTCTGCAATTTTTGAACTTTTTCTGCTTTGTTTTGCAAATTTTAGCTAGTCAGTTCATCTGGACAGTTAATTTTTTTATTTCTTTTGTTTGTTTGTTGAAACATTCTGCTATTTAGTTGTGTTTCTTTCAAATAATGTCCACTTTTTATGCTTCTTTCAGCCTCTTTTTTGTGCTAATTTCAGCTTTTCTTTAAACTTCTCAGCACTTTCTTTTGCTAGTTCCATTTTTTCTGCTAATTTTTTTGTTTCCTTTTGGCTAATTTCAGGGGTTTTAGTAATATATCTGCCTTTTTCAGCTTATTTTGCTCATTCCTGCTCTATTCAGCTTTGTCTACACATTTTAGCTGTTTTTTTTTGTTTGTTTGTTTGTTTGTTTGTTTGTTTGCTGCTGCTTTTATTTTCCTGCTTTCAGCAAATGTCCGCTGTTCAAATTTGGCTCACATTAACAGTTTAGCAATGAAACCTGTTCAGCAGCTTTCAGCTAAAATCATTCAACAATATGCATTCACTGCATTTTCACAGGAAAAGATGTTTCTTTAGTTTCATTTTGTGTTTAATTTGTGTACACACACACTCACCGATGGAGCCGAGGATGAAGACCAGGGTGTAGAGGGTCACCACAAACCATCTGCTGAAGCTCAAGTCAAACTCCTCGCAGGGGGAGAAGGTTTCATTGATGGAGTCGTAGTATGAGGAGTAGTCAGTTGGCGTGGTTAAAAAGGTCATTTCATCAATTTCTGATGAAAGAAGAGTTTAATTTTTAAGTTAAACTTTTACTGCATTGTGTAACTTAAATACACCTCTCAGAATTCAATGGCTTGGTAAAAAACTGATCAGGCTTTATTTCTGTTGTTGGTTGAAGTTTTTTTATTTTGTTTTAAAGAAAGAAAATCTATTTAAAGCTGTTCATTATGATATCTGTGTTTGTATTTTCTCTGCACTAATATATTTATTACAAAACTGAAAAATCCCACGATGAGTCAGTAAAATGAAAACAGTTTGTACAAAGGAAAAACAAAGTATTCTGTTCTATGAAGAAGCAGCACTGATTGTTGATAAAGATAAAGCTAAACTAGTGAAAATGCAGTGTGAATGCTTATTGCTGAAGAACTTGCTGAAAAACAGCTGAAATTAACTAACATGCTGAAATGTATATGAAATGGAAGAACAAGCCTAAGTTAGTAGAAGAAAGCAGAAATAACACATATTTGCTGGATTAGGTATAAAGCAGCAGCAATGAGCATAAAAACTAGGAAATTTGTTTAAAAAAAACTTAAATTAGCAAAAAGTAGCTGAAAAGGCATAAAGAAGCTTAAACTATCAGAAGGAAGCAGAAAGATCTGAAATGAGCCCCCAAAAATGTGGAATTAGTTGAAAAATTTAAAATTGGCATAAAAACAGCTAAATAGTAGCTGAAATACCAGAAAAACCTGAAAGTAGCAGAAATATTTTGAGAGGCGCATAACAAGCTGAAATTAGCAGAGAAAAGTTAATCAGGCTGAAATTAGCAGAAACTACCATATAAAAACTTGGAATTTATTTGAAATCAGCTGAAATTAGCTAAAAAAAATGCTAAAAAGGTAGCTGAAAAGTTAGAAGCCTAAATTGATATAAGAAAGCAGAAAAAAAACATGTTTGCCCAATTAGACTGAAAGAAGCAGAAATTAGCACATAAGCATCTGTAAAAATCAGAAAATTGCCACAAAAAAAAAAAATTGCTGGAAAGTAGCTAAAAAAATCAGAAAGAAGCTTAAATTACCAGAAGGAAGTGTAGAGAGCACATTTTTGTTTAAATAGGCTGAAAAAAGTTTAAATCAGTGCAAAACATGTAGAATTAGCCAAAAATACTAAAATTAGTATAAAAACAGCTAAATAGTAGAAATAGATGAAACTTAAATAAGCTGAAAAGAGTGTGATACGTTGAAAATAGCAGAAAGAAGTTAGAAGCACAAAAATGTTGTAGTTAGCAGAAAGAATATGAAAGGAGCACAAAACAGCTGAAATTAAATAAAAGTAGCAGATTTTTTTTTTTTTTTTTTGCACAAAGAAGCTGAAAGAAGCTGAACCAGAAGAAAATGTGAAAGGAGCAGTTAAAGGTTGTAAACAGATCTAAAGATATGAAGGATGTAAAATGAGCTCAAAAATGACTGAACAAGAAAAATACAGAAAAATTTAAGGAAGAAAAATGGATCTCAGTAGTGTGTGATTCGTAAACATTCACACGATTCTTGAACGAATGATTCATCCATTTTCTTTACCCGCTTCTTCTATTTTGGGTCACGGGGGTCGCCGTGCCCATGTCCAGCAATCACTGTGTGAGGGGCGGGGACACACTGGACAGGTCGCAAGTCCATCACAGGGACACACAAGAAAAACAACCATTCACTCTCATTCACACCTAGGGACAATTTAGAGTTACCAATCAGCCTAACATGCATGTTTTTGGACTGTGGGAGGAAACCGGAGCACGGAGAAAACCCACGCATGCACGGAGAGAACATGCAAACTCCACCCAGAAAGGCCCGTGGACTGGGGTTTGAACCAGGGACCTGCTCGCTGAGAGGCAGCAGCTCTACCAGTTGTGCCACCGTGCTGCCGTGATGATGCTGCAATGATTCAATTCAATTCAATCAGGTCTCTCTTGTAAATGAGTCCTCGAGGCTCAATGGGATTTACCTGTCTAAATAAAGGTTGAATGAATTCAAGCAGGGGGTAAAATGATATCATCCTGCCCCCTGCTGGTTATTTTCAATAATAAAAATAAAAAAAACCTGTCCTCACATTAATCTGCCAAGATGTGAGGATTTAAACTAACTTTAAGTCACTGATATTAAACTTCTCACCGTCATCCCACACTGGTTAACTCTGTGTTGTTTTACCACAATCCTCCATACAAAAGCTGTTTTATTACTTTAAATAATATGCCAATATCCAACTATATCACAAATATTTTACGGTTTTACACACAGACATTTGATTATTTGTGTATCGTAGTTTTAACTCACAACAATCATATGTAAACAGCAATTTTCCTAGAAATTAACTACTTGAGAACAAACCCGGTGTAAAAAACTTGTTTTCCAGTTTTTAAATTGTGTTTTCAAGTTGTTTATTTTTTACTACCTTTGTTTTTACTTTCTTACATTTTGGTTCTATACTTGCCTTTTACTGTATTTATTCTCTGTTTTTATTGACGTTAACGCTGCTGTTGGATTCTGAATTTCCTTGAGGATAATCAAGTCTCGTCCTAAATTATATTATTCATCTCATCGGGTACCAGAAGATTACAGGCTGCAAGTTTCAATATAACAGAATCAAAAGACAAGAAATACAAAAACGATCATTTTGTCTTTAATAAACAATCGTGCTACAGTGATTTCAGAACCCAGAGAGATCCAAAGATAATGACGCTGACTCATTGAGTTTTAGTTTTAAAACCATTAAACCTTAAAACTCACATAGAATTACTAAAGTCTGATAAACACTAGCTCCAGAGCGTAGCAGAAAGTGCTCACCTGCCATGGTGGAGATGTTTCAGTGATGTCCTCCTCACTCAGTCCGGTCTGGATCTTTGAGACGGAGCTGTGGGGAACCTTCTTACAGCCTGCAGTCCTTCTGAAATGAAAAAGTAACACCCAGAAAGAGAAGTACACATGTTGTTTCCTGTATATGCGTCCCTGGGAGAGATCTTATCTCTACACACTTTCAATAAAACCTGTTAGCAGCTCAGAGGCAAGTCAGATCTGCACTCGATGGTCACAAACATAGTAAACTTTGACATAAATATTTAAAATAACACTAGTAAAAACCGCCTTTCACCTATGAAGAACTTAAATAAATACTAACCATATATTTAACAGTGCACATATTGGCTTTAATAAATTCCAACTCAGCGTGTTTCTTAACTTATTTGCACGTATTACTAAAGAAAAGTCTTATTACTCAACGTCTGTCTGTTTCATAGAGGCATTCTTTTGCTTTTTTTTTTTTAATAGTGGGCTGATCTTTATCGTCAACACTTGTTTTTGTTTCTGCTTTATAGCTTCTTCGATTGTTTTACGATCATCTTCTTCTTTTAGGTGTCATCTCATTTGCCTCTGCTGATGGTAATGCAGAGGTGGGTGACAGTTGAACCCCGAGATGAAAATGAACTGCAGCCCACCTCCTGACGCTCTGAACATCTGCAAACAGCTGTATGACAGCACAAAGGTAACATCAGGCGCTCCTTCAAAGATGGTTGGGCTTGTCAGTCCAGGTTTTCTTTTTTAAAGATACTTTAAAGACTATTTCTTTCTTTCTTTTCCTCAGAACGACAAGTTTATTCTTAAAATATCAAAACATGCTGTCTATGAACTCAATCTGGTGAAAAACTACACAGATGACTCACGATGGTTCAAAATAACACACATGCAGTGGGTTGTTTGTTTTCCTCTTTGTGAACTTTTCAGTTCTGGCAGCTCAACACGTCACCTCAGTAACCTGAAAACAACATCCTCAGAGGTCTGTTTTACTCTCAAACATCTCAATACTGTAATTTGAAACATTTAGCTCAAAACAGATGTTTTAATCTTAAAATATTGGTCCCCCCCAGCCAGTTTTAGATTCCTGAGTTTTTGCTTGCTAATTTCCCCTAGCTGTTTATAATTAGTAGAACCTCATTTAAACCAAAACACTGTTTTTGAGTAATTAGGAATAAAAAATATATATTTGATTTAAAATGAAAATAAAAGCAAAAATCAAGTCCTCCAGAATAAGGACCATTAAAACCAATGTCCTAAACATTAGGATGCAGAGGCTTAGGAAGTTATATCTACACTGCTCACTAAATTAGAGAACACTAAAATAGCATATCCTAGACCTCAATTATTTAAATATTCTCATTGACAAAATATTATTAGCACTGTGGAACTGATTGAGAAGAAAATAACACGAAAAAATTATCAATGCAAATCAAAATTATTACACCATGGAGATCTGGATCCATACTCAATATGAAAGTGGAAAATAACATGACAGGCTGATTCAGTGTCAGTGAATATTCCTCGAGACAAGTCTAAATGAGGCTCAGTGGTACTGTATGTGTGGCCTCCACGTGCCTGTATAACCTCCCAACAACACCTGCTGTTCTCCTATGGGATCTCTTCCCAGACCTGGATTAGAGCATCAGTCAGGGCACCTCTGGCTAGCACACGGAGGGCTGTGCGTCCATCCAAAGAAATGCCTCCCCACACCATGACTGACCCACACCAAACCGGTCATGCTGGAGGATGTTGCAGGCAGAATAACGTTCTCCACTGTGTCTCCAGACTCTGTCACGTGCTTTCATCCAAGAAGAGCACAGGGCGCCAATGGTGAATCTGACAATTTCTGTGTTCCCTAGCAAACACCAGTCATCCTGCTTGGTGTTGGGCTGTAAGCACAGGTCCTATGTGAGGACGTTGGGCCCTCCTACCACCCTCGTGGAGTCTGTTTCTGACAGTTTGAGTGTAAACGTGCACGTTAGTAGCCTGCTGGAGGTCATTTTGTAGGGCCCTGGCAGTGGACCTCCTGTTCCTCCACGCACAAAGGATGAGGTAGCGGTCCTGCTGCTGGGTTGTAGCCCTCCTACGACCCCCTCCATGTCTCCTGGTCTACTGGCCTGTCTCCTGGTACCTATTCCATGCTCTGGACACTGTGCTGAGAGACACAGCAAATCTTCTTGCCACCGCTCGCATTGATGTTCCATCTTGGATTAGCTGCACTACTTGAGCAACTTCAGTGGGCTGTAAAAAAAAAAACACCTCATGATGCCTCTATGCGTGACAGCACTGACAAAATGAAAAGTGACTAAAAGTTCAACCAGAAAGGACGAGAGCAGAGAAATGACCTGTGGTCACCACCTGTAGAATCACTGTTTTGTAGGGGTTGTCTTGCTAATTGCCTCTCATTCCACCTGTTGTGTGTTCCATTTTCACAGCAGCGCTGAAACTGATTCACAACAAGTGTTGCTACCTAACTGGTGACACTGATTCCACAAAGGTGTGACAGATTTGGAGTTACATTGTTTTGTTTAGGTGTTCCCTTTAGTTTTTGAGCAGTGTATAAATAAAGGTTGAATGAATGAATATGCAGACTCTTCAAAAATATATATATAAATATATATATATATATAAATATATATATATAAATATATATATATATATATATATATATATATATGGGAGCACAAGCTCAATTAGATGAGCAGTGACAGAGCTTTTGTCAAGAAGTAAAATCAACTGTAAATAAAATAAAGCCAAAGTAGACCTATGTGTATCAGAAGGTGATTCTCACTCCTTTATTGTTGTATTTGTCAAATGACCAATAGGCAGCACGGTGGGGCAGTTGGTAGAGCTGCTGCCTCTCAGCGAGCAGGTCGCCTTGGTTCAAATCCCGGACGGGGGTCTTTCTGGGTGGAGTTTGCATGTTCTCTCTGTGCATGCGTGGGTTTTCCCCCGGTACTCCCGTTTCCTCCCACAGACCAAAAACATGCATGTTAGTCTGATTGGTAACTCTAAATTGTCCCTAGGTGTGAGTGAGAGTGAATGTTTGTTTGTCTCATTTGTCTCTATGTGTCTCTGTGATGGACTGGAGACCTGTCCAGGGTGTCCCCCATCTCTCGCACAGTGATATCTGGACATGGGCACCAGTGACTCCCACGACTTCAAAAGGAAGAAGTGGGTAAAGATAATGGATGGATGGATGAAATAACCGATAAACCGTTGTTACTGTTACACCAGTAACTCATCATCTACGTGCACCGCAGCATGGCAGCACAGATGAGCGCTCCATTTCGACTCGCACAATTTTTGTTCATTGTTGTTGTTGTTTATCTATTTTTTTTACCGTTTGCACCTGGACTGCATTCCCACGGTACGGGTATGACCATGATGCACTTTTGGAGTTGCCATCGTCAGTGAGTGGGGACGTTGGGTCAACTTTTGGGGACTCCACAGCGGACATTTGGCCCTGTGTTCTTTGTTTACTTGGGCGCCATAAGAGGAAAACAGAGAGAAATGCAAGCCAGCATTTTGTGCAGAATCTGCCCATATGCAACACCCCCACCCCCACCCCCTCCCTTCAGTCCTGCTTTCTGGCATTCAGTCTCTGAGGAATAGACAGGATGACCTGCACACACGGATTTATTCTGAACGGGACACAAGGAGCTGTTGTGTCTTTGCCCTTATGGAAACATGGCTGGACCCGTCCATCCCCGACTGTGCTGTGGCCCCGGATGACTTCTCTGTCTACGGCTCGACAGAACTGAGTCACATCTGGGACAGCTAATATGTTTAATGCTGCTGCACTATGTGGCTGTATCATGTGTGTCACTGCCTTGCCATCGTGATTCAGTTCATCTCAATGTTGCTCACTGCCTGTGCAGTGGCCTTTTGTGCAACCTGTGTGGTGTATTTCATGTGCATTTAAGCAGCGTTACTGTCTGGGAGATACTAATTCATCCTACTTGCACTGTTGTATTCTACCATGTTGTTTGCTATATTTCTTTTGGACCATGTAGATGTATTTCTTTTTCACTTTTTGGTGCTTTTGTTTTGTACTTTTGCATGCTTTGTTGTTGTTGTTTGTTTTGGGCGAGTCGAGACGGTTCTTCTCATCCTGAACATTTCATTGCATTGTTGACCTTGTGTTGACCTGCATATTTTTTATTGATCTAAATGTTTGAACAACTGTTTTTATGTGTTTAAATGTTCTTGTTTTTATATGTACAGCACTTTGTGGCAGCTGTGGTTGTTTTAAAGGGCTTTATAAATAAAGTATTATTATTATTATTATATGATAAATAAACAATAATCAAACGACGAATACAGAATAAATCTCCTGAAGTTCTGTTGTTTTTTTTGTTTGTTTCGATCATAACAAAAATCTTATATTATTTATTAAACTGTAAATTTTCAGTATGTTCAGTATGTTGTGATTATATTATGTCTCTGTTTTAGAGTGGTGGAAGACTGATAGAAGAGAAGAGGCAAACGGATTAAGAAAGACGAGACTGAATGTAAAGATGGCTCTTTCAAAGAAGAGGAAGGAAATGTCGATTTACTGAGAAATTACAAGCAGAATGTCCATTTATATGTCTTTGTCGGACAGAATAAGATAACACAATAGTGCACTGCACTCTTTGTAAATCATCATTTTCTATTGGCAGTGGTGGGAGATTTGCTGTGGTAGAACATCAGCAAACAAAGAAACACCTGCACCTACCTGCCAGTGCAGGTGTGTCCTCTGTCACAACATTCTTTAAAAAGGTAGAGCCTTCTCAAAAAGAATATGATTTAGCTGTGCAGGAGGGAATCTTAGCATATCACACTATGAAACACAGTCATAGTTACCACTCTATGGACTGCACAGCACAACTGACAAGGAAGCTTTATGAGCCAAAGTCTTCATGTGCTAGGACCAAAGGTGATGTCATAGTGAGAAACATTCTTGCACATTGGGCAACCACTATGCTAACACAGGACCTAGACCAGGTTAAATTTGTGTCCCTGTCTACAGATTCATCCAAT